TTTTAATAATAATACAATTAATAGTAAATATTATATCAAATCTCTTTAAAATATATACATACAGTAAAAAAATACATAATATTGCAAAGCAAAATGTTACTGTCATTTGGAACTATATTATAATTATATTTTGATGGTCGATTGTTCGAAACGTTTGAGAATGCGTAAAGAAATATTGAAACGTCAAAGAGTGGCTGTATATTGTATTACAATAGCCAATTTGAATTGACTTATTATCAAATAATAGGTAAACACGTATTATCTATGTTTGCATGTTGATTTTTGGTTTTTTGGTATTTTAATGTTTAGGCATGATATGAATTTGATAACAGGTCGATTCACTTACGTAGCGGTCATTCATTTAATTTTGTCATTATGGGATTAAATAAAATGTTTATCACAAATATTATCCTAATATTTAAGAACAATTAGGTGATTGAGGAGTGTATCTTTTTTACTTGCCCACCACCCCACACATCACTGAATGCCCATAATCTACTCCAACAATAAAACTAACAGCCAAAAATCGGCTACGGAACGCATTTGTGCTGTGTCGTGGAAGTTTGCAAGACGGAGATGAGAAATGTATGTAGTATCATCTCAACTTAGTATTATATTAATTAACTAGTTATTTGCGTAAGGTTCGTTATTATGTCAAATACCTACTGCTCAATTGCTCAACAAATTATCACGGTTATAGAGTGATCTTCAATCGTTGTGAATAATAATAATAATAATATTAACATTTGTGATCGCATCAGTATACTATACGAATTTAACATAATTTCTATCATATTGATAGTGATTAACACGCGATTAGTTATTATAATATACGATTACCTAAGAATCACGTTCACTCGATAATGCCTATAATATAAACGAACTGCCGATAAAATACCAATGTATTAATATTCGACACGTATCAACATTTAATCAACGCAAGTTAATGAACAATATTAGCTGTGTCGATTTAAAAGTTAATATTGAGTCAATATCGTTAAAGGTCAAGAATAATTAAAAAAGTAATAAGAAATTTAAGCTAAAAGTTAATTTAAAAACTTTTTTCTAATATTAAATTAAGTTAATTTTAATGTTTTTTGTTAAATGCGCATTGTCGTGGATTAAATAGGACGTGTGGTTTATTTCCATACGAAATAGTATATCGATTTTAAATGTATACAAAGTATTAAAATTAAAATTAAAATTTTATCAACCCAGCAAGGTGTTATTCAAAATAAATTAAATGTTAAAATGTTTGCTTTTACAGTATTGATGCCCACATAGCACTGCATCGAATTCCGTGTATTGGAAAAATCTGCGCACGTTATATTTATTTTTTTTACTTTACATATTTAATAAATGGGCTTCGTCGGAGAAAAGGGTTCTGGGTACTATGGAGAATGATAAAAATAATATTAATAATAACAGCAGCTTTAAGACGGTATAGTGTACAAAACAAAAAAAAATAAAATATTAATAATAATAATATTCACAAAATTGTATAATATATTTAGAGAAAACGGGGACGGTAAATAAAAAAAAAAAACATTAAAATACCGTAGCGGAATAATATTATGTCATATACACATAATCTACATTATGTTTTATATGTTATAATAATATGTATATTATAATTTATATATATGCATAATACATACGGTCATATAGGTCGTTTAAAGATAACATGGTGGGTAGGGGCTTAATAGTGATGTAGAGGGAGAGGGGAGAGGGCGTGGGCATAAAAAAAGATAACATGATAAATTGAAACAGTATGTTAATATACGTATAATATGTTGTTTATACCTATATACATATTATAATGAGAAAAGGCTGTTTGCCCTCGTAAATCGATCTCTCGCTTTATAATAATAATATATAGGCTGCGTTTTTTCAAATTAATTATATTATGTAGGAATGTACTATGATATATTGTTTTAAATTTAAAATTAAATTCTTGTATTATGTAATATCAAAAAATTAAGACCACAGAATTACTGTATTATAATCTTGGACTGTCGATTTACGAGGATATCATGGACATTTACCAAAGATAAGATTAAAATTCCGTAATACGCCAGCCGGACAAACATGTATAATCCCAAAAATACGCATATAGTGGATCGATGGATAAATGTATGGACCAAAATTTAACCTATAAATGGGCTTTCATTTGCCAAGAGGAGAATGGACTTCACTAAACCACTTCAGATGTGGATAAGGAAAATGCGATCACATTCATTATGTCGAAACGGAATCTAACCCTGAATACGCAATGTGAAAATATGAACCAAACGATTAGCCACATCATTGAAGACTGTTCCATTCATTCCTACGATAAAAGACTTCATGGGCTTTATGTAGTGGAAAAAGGCGCTATTGAATGGCTAAACAGCTTAGTAATTGACACTTGACGGTGCCAAAAACGGAACGCAGTGTTACTAACTATTACCTTTAAAATAATATTGTTTTTACTAATTATTTATTTATGCTCGTATCGTATTATGAAGAATCTATATAAGTTTTACAAAAATGTGTGTGTTTTCTCGAAAAACACTTTCTCATGTAATAAGAATAATCGGATTAGCTCTCACGCCATACATAAAAAAATATGGAATTTTCAGCTGATGGTACTTTATTTGAAACATTTATTGACATTTGTATAAGTTTAATCCTTGTGTACTATTATTTTTCCATATTCGTTGATTTTTGGGGATTACTTCGATAACACGCATAAAATGCGACTAATATACAACTGCCCACAGAATAGTTATTTGTTTGTAATGATCTATCGCTGCATATAGTATTTAGAAATATATATATATATATATGTATTAAAAGTATAGATATATAAACTAAACTACCCTATATATATAATCCAACTACCCACATGCAAAGGTGGCCAATACCTAACATACTACAGTGAGAAGTGTGTTTTTTCAATTTTCAATTTCAAAATCTAATATTTTTCATTTTTGCTTTTTTATATGCCCCAATTAAATATTATTAAAATACATATGGAAACTTTATATTCGTTACAATAAAATCTATAATACTATGGAGGTAGGTGTAGAGGAATACTGTCGAAATTTACTGCGGAGTGAATCGCGCGATGCTACTGCGGGTCGTTTGTTAAAGTGGATCATAAAACGCTAATCGACCGTAAACACAGTCGACTACCTACGTTTCTAATTAAAATATACACGTATTCGAAATTTCGGTCGTTTCGGTATAGGTACGTATATAATAATATATAGGTATATTATACATTGCGATTAAAATCAATTATTTACGAATGACGTACTATAATTTAAATTATTGTATACTAGGCATTTAAATAGCATGGAATACTATATTATTAAAACTATACGCGCGTAAAAACGGAATAATATTATTAAATGAGACGGATTTCACAAAGAAAACCAGAAACCTTTCAATAAAATTCTTAATTTTTTATATTCTGAGTGCATCGAGTAATGTTTTGGTTTCAGAATGGTGTGAGATTTGTTTTTTCTTGTGTCTATATAACACTTTTCAATCAAAAATTTCGTTCTAATATAAAAATAACAAGATAATTTTTTTATCTGTTTGGTTAATTGAGGTGGTCAGTTTTTGATTTTTCAGGTATTTTTCATAATAATTGTTAAAAATTGGAAAATATTTTTAAGAAAAACAAAGAAACTTAAGTTAATATTTTTTTTAAATTGTTAAAATTATTTTAATCCTCATTCATTGACATTTATATAAAGCCAATTTTTATTTATTGTAGAAACCACGTAGATACCAGAAGAAGCTCGAGAATTCCAGACAATTCTTTTGAAGCTCTTAGTCCAATTAAAGACAACAGAAATAAAATCATTCAATTAATTAAATATATTAATATGTATAACTTAATTTAGAATAGTCAATATTTTTATTTATATACAGCATTAATATGTAACTATATTTTGTAAGTTAATAACCTAAGTTTATGAACCATTAATAAAAAGAGAAAAAAAAATAATTTTAATCAACACGTAAAATTCGCACACAAAGTAGATTGTTATTATTGTGACGGCTTGATTTCATAGAAATATTTTATTTTATCGACATTGTAGCAGTTAATAACAAAAACGTATAGGAATATAAAAGTTTACTGTTTGTCTACACCTAACGTTTTGTTGATTTTCCATGACAACCAATAATAAAATCCACTATTACCCGTCATATATGATGGGCGTACAAGTAATACCAAATAATTATACTGGAATTCACACTATGAGGGAACTGAAATTTTATATTGTTATTAATAGTAAGTTTTTACTTTATACTTAATTTTACTGGAGAGGTCGGAGGAGTAAATACCCGCAAGGAGCTAAACTCCGCGACTAGAATTAGATCCATTTATTATTTTGTATAACATACATATTATTTGTAAAACGATAAATAACAGAATATTATAATAATATCATTAAAATACTATATTACAATTATCCTACTTCCAAAAAATAAAAAACTGTGAAATTTGAGTATAAAAATTGTAGAGTTATAGTAGGTTAAATATTGAAACCCTGAAAAGGTACATCATACTCAATACTATAGGATTGTGTATGTACAGAATTTCATCCTCCTGGATTTATTTTGGGGGGGACCTGTATAGAGATATTTAAAGCTAAAAGAAAAATGTTTCTTCCAAAAAATATTGTGGAAATAAAACCCAACTTTAATTCTAACCTAATCTAACCTAACATAAATATAACGTAACAGACATAATACTGTACAACTGTTTCTATTTTTTCAAAAATTAATTTGTGTAACGAATTATTTTATTTCGTCGACTTAATATTATTACATGGGTACCTACGTGATATTGTTCATTTTTTTTTCTTATTATATTCTTTTAATAATATAATGTTGTTAGTTACAAAATATTAAAATTTGCGACACGAAGTATAACATTATATAATATCGAACAATGCCTTTTTCCCTCTGTTTTTTTTTTTTTTTTTTTTTTTTTTTTTTTAGGTAGCAATGTTTGGTTATAATTATTTGAATTTCACATGAAACGAAAAAAATACAAGCAATTGACAAAAATAATAATTACCTACTTTAAATAATGCAAAATGTTATATTATTTATTTTATTGCACTTAATATTATACTCGGGCACGTATAGAATCAATATTATATTTAGTCGAATAAGAAATTTCGTATAATAACGTTCGCCTTCAGACCGCGCCTCAATCGATTTTATAAAGTGCACGTTGCACGATGCACATGCGCACTGATAGTAAATATATCGCTATACCGTTCTTTAACGAAAATTGTTTACCTATATTATATAGTTTGTCGGAATTTAGTGTTTAAAGCACTACAGAAATTTAAAAACAACGTATACACATGTAACGTTGTTTGCGAACTTTATTAATTACGTTTTTGTTAGTCGAAACAAGCCAACTATACCAGAATTTAGTTTAATTGATTTTTATTACCATTTTCGTCATATGTCTACAAATTAAAGAATATAATAATAAATTCGGGTGTTTCGTTAATAATATTTAGAACAAATATGAATTTGAAAAATGTAAAAAAAATATAGACATACTTCGCATTCTATGGCGGAGTATAACGATAAACTATTGCTAATGAAAAACAACTCTGTGTGAAGTTCGATTATATTATGTGTTCTGAAAGGTGATAATACTTACAATTTTCGTCAAAATTTGATATTAGAATTCTTATATTTATAAAAAAAAAAATACCACATTCATCTCAATTTAATTTTTTTCGCCACATATATAACTTATAATTAACCTCCTGTTGAAAAAGCATGTATATCTGTTAAATATAACAGTTGATCAATGATCCTGTATATTTATATATTAACTATACAAGTATTATTAAAATTTTTTATGTATATTTAATTCCAAAAAATCTATTGATTTAAGGATTTTAAGATGTATACAAATAAAAAATATACATTCAAATTTAATTTTAAAAAAAATATCCTAACCAATCTAATGTACACTTCACATTAAATTCAAATCTGTTTTCGAAATAAATTTGTATTGCTTCACAACATCGATCTGGAGATTTTGTCTAATTTATTATACTCAAAATCCAATCGGTCCAATTAAAGAACTTCTTTAAGAGGGCAGTGCTTGGAGTATCATTATCAGTAACAAGTGGAAATATTTTTCTGACTTAAAACCTGTTAGTAAAAATGTGGAAGTTTGAAGCCCTTCGATGAAAATTTAAATCTAAGTAAAGCCATCATCCAGCTTATTTGCAATAAATTTCACCCAGATAGAGTGACAAAAGTGTAGAATCGAAGAAAACAGTTAGAAATGTTGGAAGTCGTTACAGTTGGAATCAGGGACTGGATCCGGTTATAACTGTAATTTTTCAATATATTAAAACAGGTTACTCAACTGTAGCTATTTACATTAACAAATTATTTTATCCTTACCAAAACCGTTTTTTTTTTTTAATCTGGCTTAAAAATCATAATAAAAGACGCTAAAATATCGGCGGTTGTGGTCGCCACATTAGAGTCTGATGGCCAATAATTAATAATAATATTTTCTACGATTTTTACCTTAATTTTTTAAACTTCTATATGCGGTATTGCAAAAATATTACGTTATTACTATGACCATTACTAACCCAATTTAACAACCTTATTAAGGGACCTTCGTGCTAAGTACTATCGCACGTCGGTCTAATCCCACCCCGGATCAGACTAAATGGCCAAAATTTGATCAAACATTATGTTTTATACCGGTGAGGTACATAAATATGTTTGACAAAGAAAGAAAATATCGGTATCCAACCCCATTAACACTGCTCACGACACGATATACACATAAGTGTAAAACACGGTATGCCTAATGTTATTCTTTGCCCTTTGATGAAATTCACGCAGTCCTCTTTTAGTCGGGATGTGCGGCCAGCGGCGGTGGTGGCGTTATAGGAGTGCGGTTATATTTTCAATCGATTTCTGCTGCAGAGCGTTTGGCCCCACCACCACCACCATTTCGGAGAAGCAATAAATAAATAAATTCAAATCGGAAACGGTAAACGATCCTCGCAGACTGGATTCAAGCGCAAATCTGTACTTATACATATTGCGATATTATTATTACGGCTATCCAGTGACTACGTTGCATATTTAGGCAATGATGACAATATATAGACATTGACTTTGACGGTGGTCAATTCATATATTATAACACCTGGATAATTTGGTGAAAATATCTATAATTTTCAATTATGTCAGTCCGTATTGGTATAATTTGATGAATTTGACCACTATAGCTATCGATTTAACATTTAACGCCATGCAGTTAAAACGATATCAGCTGTTTTATATTTAGCAGTATGCATATAAAGATGAAAAACCGATTTCCTCAAAAAAAAAAAAAAAAATAAGTCTTTAAAATGTTTTTCTAACTCCCTTTTCAATTTGCTCTAATGCAAAAATAAGAAGAACCTACTTATAGGTACCTTTTTAAATATTATTAGTTACATTAAGTATAATGTAATAACCTATACGAAATTCATTTTTCGGCCAATAATATAATTTTAAACATTTTTGTGTTCAAACCAAGACTGGGTATCAACCAGTATTACTTAAAAATGACATTAATTTCCATTACTTGTACTATTAGTTATAGCTGTATAGGCATTCTATATAATAATTATAGACAATAATATCAATACTCGTAAAAAACAGTCAGCACTAAGTCAGTCACACAGTCAGGTATACAGACTATAGCCACTTTAAATAATTCCCTAATATCATCAATGAAGGTCAGTTATAATTATCATTTATTTTATCGAGTTAATATTGCTAAGATACCTAAGTATTTATCTGAAATATAAATATCACTTAACCAGATATATTAATCCAGATAAATTATTCTGTACAGTTGTCCTTTTCCAAGGCTTGACATTTATGAGTTTAAAATAGTAAATTCAGTTAAACAATTAGATTACCTTAAACTAAGTTGTATACAAATTGTAGGTTCAGATTTAAGAGGATTCAGGGCCCCCTAAACTCCTCGATTTGCCAAGAAGATAAATTAATTTCGCATTATAGTTTGACGATTTATATCTTTTTAACATCTAATACAATTTTAAAATGTAACCATCCGTGTTTCATCTAAATTATCTAGAATATTTTAGTTCAATTCATTTTTTATCTCTATCTTAGTAAATGTTTTTTTGGCATTTTATCTTTATCTTTAACTAAATACATTTTAGTTATCTGTATCTCAATGCTGTTGACGGTATATATCAGATAAATATATAATATATTAACTGAAATTCCTACTTTTTATATAAGCCCGCTTACATAAAATCGTATGTAATTTTGTATTTTCGGGGCGTGTGTAAGGTACGTGTGTTTGGCTTATAATAATAAAATAAGACGATGGGAAAAAAAACGATATTATTATTTTATTATTGCCGTGACAGAGCGAAGTAGGAAGACGATGAAGAGAAGGGCCTAATGATATTGTTGGTAATCGTTTGGATAGTGTATGTTGTATATAGTCAACGTCCGGTGCGCGTGGGGACCCGATACGTGGCGCTAATTGGATTATATTGAATATGATGTAATCCGGTTAAGTCAATTCTAATATAAGAGCCGTAATAATAATAATTCCAAGTCCAGAAAACTCTTACGTACTTCTTTTTAAAAGAGAATATTTAGTAAAATACTATTTATCTCATGTCTGTGATAGTACATTAAAAATAATCATTTTCGTGTAACAAAACGGAATATTATAAGGAGATTTACGATAATATTAAATTGTATACCTAATTTAATTTTTATTTTATACAAAATAGGTAAAGAAAAATTGTATACTTTATCCTCAAAAAAGAAATAAGTACTTGGTACTCGCTATACTATCTCATTATTCAAATACAGTTTTATTAATACACAGTAAATAATCGAACAATCAGTCGATTTATATTAAGTTCTATTAGATTTATAAGAAATTAAACGAAACGTTGACTGTAAATTAATAAAAAGGAAAATTAAAATAAAACGCATGTTTTCTGTTATGCACGCCGATAATTAAATACTGTTGGTAACCGCATAATATGTACATCAAACACCATGATATTTACGATATTGTGTAAACGTCTAAAATAGTCACACAGAAAGGAATAACGGTTATAAGTGTCATTTCTAGTCATATTTTTATATAATTAAACGTTTTATTGATTTGAACTTATATTCTATAATGAAAGCGGCGAACGGTGTTATTACAATTTTTTTTTTTTTAACTTATCAGCTTATCTTTTTTTAGTTATTCCCCCCACTATATAGTGGTGTAATTCATATACAAAATATGTATATAAAAAAAAAACACGACGAAGGCAATAAATTATTCAAAACAGTCATTATATGACCCTCTGACGGTTGATTTGCTGTTTATACGTCGCCGTCGTCGTAGAAATAGATACTAAATTTACCAACGGTTACACGCACATAAACAACCAACAAATATATACATATATATCATCAATACCATATAATATATTTATATAGGTAGACGCTCATCGAAAATATCGGTAAAAGGACAAAGTCGCTCCGGAAAAAATATATATATAGTCGGCCGAAAATAGTCGGATAGCAAGTATAGGTAGTAAAATTGCATAATATGGTCATTTTAATGGGCTATTAAGTAGACTTTTCCACTAAAAAAAAAGAAAAGAAATAATAATAATAATAATAATAATAATAGTAATAATAGTTATAAGTATAGATAATAATATGGCGCGTTACATAATATCATAATGGTTTTTAACGAAGATTAGTGATTTTCTATACTATATAATTTACGCTGATAATGGACAGGTTGGCGATTTTTTTTTCAATTTTTACTTTGACACAGGTACCGTCGTTATGATGCTAACAAGTAATAAATATATATATAACTCTTATTAAATCTTAAAAGTCCTAGCTTACGAATATGTTCTTTTTTTTTGGTGGAAACATGTTTCACGGGAAAAATGCTTATGATTCGTACTGCTTCATATTTTTTTTTTGTTAGATAGAGAGAAGTTTCCTGCGTTGAACTATGAATTTTTATTTTGTAATCAAAAACTAAAACAAAACTAAAAATAATAATTGATATTGATAATATTCAAACTCTAATTCCAGCGTTTGTAAATGTATAATTTTTAATGCATCCTGTGAGATGTTTTTCTCTTTCTAAAAAAAAAATTAAAGTTTACAGAATCAGTTATCTCTGCGAGGCATGGAATTTTTTCCTGTAAGATATAGTTATTTTAGTGAAAACAGATCACTTGCAGGACTGTTGTGAAGTTTGATTATTGATAAAGTAATAATTATATAAATTCGTGGCAGTATTTTTTGTAATATCAACTAATATTATTTGTAATAATCATAAACATAACGATTTAACCATATATTTTAATATTTAATAAGATGAGTGTTTCATTGTAACAAGTATAACATCAAAGCTTCAAACAATCAATGATTTTAAAAAATTATAAAAATAATTTTGGTACGCCGTTAATACAGTTACATTTAAATACAGTTACGCCGACAACATTTAAAATCAAAACAATCAAAAATCGTTTATGATGCATGATAACTGATGGCACAACATAGTGATCCTCTGAATTGAGTGCACACTATCCTGCATGGATCATGAGTATTTTTCCGATTATATGTCACAAGCCGAAAAAATG